TGAAGGGATGCACAAGAAATACTGCAGTCTTGGTTCAGCAGTGAACATCCACATGGTCATCATAATGTAAGCACTGACTTCTAATTTAATCATATACATGGTATGGTTAAATTAGGGTATGGGGATGATAAACTGGGGTATGGGGTGATGGAGTGATAATATTAACAGCTTCATCTTCATCTACTAGAGGAAAGTCAATTGGAAATGTCTAACATGCATGAGAAATAGAAGTTATCACTTTATTCACAAAATATTAAGCAACAGGGAATAGTGGAAGAGTTGAATATAATCGCCTTTAGAAGGACAAGGGAGGATTAGGGCGTGGATGAAGGTAGGGACTGCCAGTTTTCACTCTAAACCCTTTCTAGCACAGTACTAATTTAAAAACATACAGACAGACAGACACACACACACACACACTTTTTTTGGGTGAAATCTAACAAATACAGAAAATCAAAAATCAAAAGAGAAATGTCCAGAATAATCAGTTAATCACTACAGCCACCCCCCAGTCAAAACACTATCTCCATGAGGCCCCCAGATTCCTTCTCAAGAACAACTCCCTTCCATCACTTAAAAGTAACCACCACATACTGGCTTTTATAGCAATTATTTTGTAGCTATTCTTCAAAGTTTACCACTTTAGTATGTGTCTCTAAGGCTATGGTTTAGTTTTGAATGTTTCTTAAACTTTGTATTAGTGGACTCAAAGAATATGTATAAAACACATATATACCATCTCTTCACTCTGGCTGAGGAGAAATTCTTAATAAATTCCCCAGTTTTCTCATTCTCCAACTCTTCCTCACTTGCCATAAATGTTCCAACAATAACAGCTAAACCCTTACAACACTTTATGTGCCAAGTTACTGTTTTATGCATACTAACTCATTTAATCACCAAAACAACAGCGTAAGGGAGATTTTATTGTGATCTTCATTTTAGAGAGAAGAAAACAGGCACAAAGAGGTGAATTAATTTGCCCAAGATTACCCAGCTAGCAGAGGACTGTATTATGTAGAGGATGTAATTATGTAGCCTAGCACCAGTGTCTGTGCTACCTACTATCTCATGAGATCAAGTTGTCAATAAAGGAAATTTTTCAAGTATGGAATATGGTAAAATGTTATTACCACTACTACGATGATTGAAAGGAAAACTGCAGGATTAGAGATTGTCTAAGTGATAGAGACTTCAGTACCTCACCCTTCTCCCAAAGAGCTATACCAAAGATAAACCACTTAAAAGTGCCTGAGGAGGGGCGCCTCTGTGGCTCAATCCTTAAGTATCTGCCTTCAGCTCAGGTCATGAACCCAGGGTCCTGGGATCGAGCCCCACAGTGGGCTCCCTGTTCTAATGGAAGCCTGCTTCTCCCTCTGCCACTTCCCCTGCTTGTGTCCCCTCTCTCACTGTGTCTGTCAAATACATAAAATCTTTTATTTAAAAAAAAAAAAAGGTGCCTGAAGAGACCTGTGCATAGAATAAGTATCCCAATAAGAGTACCCCATCAACCAAAGACCAATCACAGTTATCTGGTCAAACATAAAAATTCTTAGTTCTGCAATGCACTTAATGAAAAATTCTGAGCCTTCATTAAGTCCAATAAAGACTTCTTTGTAAATTAAGGCCCCCAAAGAGCCCAATATCTCATACAACTTAACTTACCGGTAGTAATAATGTTGGGCTCTTTCTTCTCTAAAACATCTTTGAGTGTTAACAAGATTAGCATATAAGGAACAATGGAAATCTAATCCAGTCCTGTGATCTTAAGGCTAAGCTTACTGGAACCCAAAGAATCACTTATTCCAAGTTACATATACTTGTTTGTCCCCAGGATAAAAACTCAAGGTCTCCTAACTTCTTTCTATTACACAGCTGTAGAACATCAATCCAAGTAAATACATCCATGACATCCAGAGTATATCACAATCATCTTTTCAATGGATCTCTCTCCTTTTCAAAACCTCCTAACAGTAATCACATTCCTTCATTCAACAAGTACTCAACATTTACTGGTGTGCCAGGCACTGTTCTAAGTACCATAATTTGTATAGGATACTCTGCATAGAGCAGATGCATTAGTCCTACACAGCGTAACAGCAGAGATTTAGGGTAAATTATAAATAAGAAGGGCCATAAAGAAAGATTTTTTAAATATTTCCAAGAAAGGAAGATAAGGAAAAGAGTTACAGACATGACCTGAAGAATTCTAATAAGTGATAAATTGTGGGATGACTGTAAGGCATTCTGAGGTGGGAACAGCAAAAAAACAAAGACCGAAGAGTAAGACTGTACAAGACTTGTTTGAAGAACAGCAACCATTTAGCTGGATCATAAACCGGATTAGCAGATGAACTTAGAGAAACAGGGGACATACTGTTGAAAGATCTCGTATTCTAGGCAGAAATAGCTGAATGTAATTCATAATCCTAGGGAAGCAGTGACCACTAAAGATTTCTGAGGAACATAAAATTGGGACAGCATTTAATATCAACTTAGAAGCAAAACAGAGAACAAGAAGCATGGAACCATTTAGGAAGTTACTGCAATGTGGATGAAAGATACCGAGATCCTGAACTAAGGGAAGTTGGGTATGGAAAGAAGACTAAAGCATCACAAAAGTAACAATGGTATGCCATGACAGCTAGCTGTGTGCGAGGGGAAAGACAACCCAGAGCCTTTGATGGGAAAGAACTTGCAATACATCATTAACAGAAAACAGGCAAGCTAAACTGAAGATCTAGCTAGATGTAACCTGTTTAGAGATTACAGTCTAAACCAAGGGGGAAAACATTAATCTATTTGAGAAAAGCTAATCTTCCCTTAGGAACATAAACATAATAGACCATGACATGGAAACTACAGTATGCAGAAAAAAAAAAGAAAAAAAAAACCCAAATTAAAGGAGTATAATGTGAAAATTAGGGGCTTTTTTAAACTTACTACACTAGCATAAACTTAGGTACTTAAGTCATGTTTTTATTAAAATACACATACCAAGCCTCAGCATGCTAAGATGCTAGGAATGCACTGTATGTTAAAGTATTATTTAACAACCTCAAAAAAAAAAAAAAATCATTTAATGAATCAGTAGCAAGGGGCACCTGGGTGGCTCAGTGGGTTAGGCTGCTGCCTTCAGCTCAGGTCATGATCTCAGGGTCCTGGCATCTCAGAGTAACACACTGGGCTTTCTGCTCAGCGGGGGTGCCTGCCTACCTCCCTCGAACTCTCTCTCTCTCACTCTCTCTCTCTCTTTGCCTGCCTCTCTGCCTACTTGTGATCTCCCTCTGTCAAATAAATAAATAAAATCTTAAAAAAAAAAAAAAAATCAGTAGCAAAATGTAGCTACTAAGTATTAGCAGAATAGAACTACAACTGATCCCATCATACATATCACAAACCATCATTTAATTCAGTTAGATAAGTTTAGAACCATCAATTTCTTCTAATTAAAACCCATGTGGTCTCTTTGCCTACTGTTTAAAAAAAAACTACAAGCTCCTTCAGGGCAGGGTTTATGTCCCAGATACCTTGCAGCCCCAATGCTCAACATTTCGGAACCCCCTCAACAGATCTTTGCTATAAAAAATAAATGGAAATCAACCCAGGAATAGTTTCCAAGTATACAGCACTCTCATAAGTTGAGTATTATACAACAGCACAAATGATCCAGTATTCAGTGGCTACTATTCAACAGATAATGGAATTACAAAATGAGTAACACATGAGTCCTCCCTTGAACTTAGAGGATTTCTCTCAACAAGTCAACCACCACAAGCTTCACCAGAAAACCTTGATTTGCGCTATTTATGCGACCATCAGTGAGTCTCTTAACTAAGATTTCTCGTTTCTCATCTGAAAAACAGATGAGGATTCAACAGAAATGTGATAGTGCTCCATAAAGTATCACAGGTACAATGTATGCCAGCTGGCTCCCAAAGAACACGAAACTGATCAAACACTTCACTGACAATGACACTGACACAGGCAAATCCAAGCATTTGACTGGCTCAACCCAAGTCTATCATCCTACCACCACTTGAAGAAATCCTCAAAACTAACAGTACTGCAGAGAGTAGGTTAGAAATAGGATCTTAACGAGGACAATACAATCTAGAAGATGATTTATAAACTTAAAGGAAACTTTTAAAATTAGAAGTACATTTTAATTCATTTGAGTTTTGTTGGAAAATTCTTACTATAATTCAAGACAGAATACCATTAAAATTCAAACTTTAAACAATATTTCTGAACAATGAAATGATACAACTACTTTATGGGAAATAATGCCTCCAGCACCTAAAACCATCTCAAATGAGTGCAAAACTGACATTTCCAAACTTGAAGTTTTTGAAATACACTAATAAATTTGGGAGAAGAATTAAGACTTAAGTAGTTTAACTGATCAAACCTAGCTTCTAACCGCAAAAGAATAGGCTCCCCAGAACCATGGGTGTTTCCTTACCCACCTAAATTAATCCTTACCAGACAATAAAATGTATCATTTGAGCCATCATTTCTTTATAGAACGTCAATCAACACCACACACTGAAAGCAGGCAAGTTAAACACTAAAAAATCTTACCTCAAAAATGAAAGACAGTCATTCAAAAATGTCTGAGGTAAATGTTGATGCCCTTTTTAATATAATTATCTAAAAATGACGTCTGAACATGAAAATGCATCACCATTTATTTGTACATGAAATTTACAGTCAGAAAATCTTTACAATATGAAACTTAGATTCTTCTTGTGACAGTTTTATATAAATTATCATCTAGTACCTTCACTTAATAGATAAAAAGTAATGATATAAGGTATTACTAATAAAAGACTAAAGACCATTTTCCAGAAAAGTGACTTTTAAAACTGTTCCTCCATTGCTCAGACATTAAACTCAGTCTGTTCTTAAACTGTAACAGATCGAGCTGCAAGGAAATCATTCAGTAATAAAGATTCTGACTCCATATTCAAATTTTGCATTATTAAGTGCTTTCTTACCTTCTGCTACATCATCATCTACTGCTCCTTTCACCTGAGAAAAACACCACTGAATATCGTTCCCTCCTCCAGCTCCTGGAAAAAGAAAACATAGCAATTAAAACTGAGTTCTGTTCATGTTTACTCTCGTAAACACAGAGATGGTATCCATGGTTGGCATGATACTAATAGCCTGGTACTGCCCACACATACAACCACCAGCCCAGAGCACTAACTTGGAAGGAGGTTAGTCTCCAATAACTGAGTGCATTTAAAAAGAGAGAGAGATTCCAGGTATGAAATATCTGAAGGCCACGTACTATCATTAACACTGCACATGTGTTTAAAACTTCCATTTTCCCTTCCCCTCAAATACAGTAAAAGCCTCACATTCACGCAAGACCTACCAGAGAAAAGTAAATACCAAAAGTCAGACAGTTTTCCTTTAAGTTTACAAAAGCCTGCAGAAGGGTTAATAAGGTTAAACTACCATAAAACATGGAACGAAGAGAAAACTTCAGGAACATTACAGCCTGGGTGAGGAGTAATGATTCATATGAACCCCATCACCAAAGCGCACACACAGCAAACACAACACTCACCACCCATTTCTTTGCATTTCATTACCAGCAAATCACTGGCTCCAGTCAGGAAAGAAATTGAAATAAATGCTGGTGAGGAGACTGTCAGAGGAAGCTTGTTTTGCCTCCTTTCACCTTATCCCTCAGAATCCAGAGGACCTTGCAAAGAATTTCCCTAGTTTGTCATCATCTTGTGCAAAACAGTTTTTATTTAGCTTAATTATTCAACAAGGCCAAAGAGCAACTTGTTTACAGCAAAACATAGGTCAATCCAACACGTTAACTTTTTTGAAGGTTTATTTAAAGGTTATCTAAATACTGTAAAAAGCATGGAAAATTGGTTTCGTTCCTGAATGTCTCTATTTCACTTCCAAGCACTGTGGAGAAAATGTCCCGGATCTAAGGAGGAAGAAACTGAATCAACACCTAAAATTGGTTCTCAGAAGAAGGAAGACATTCAGCAACATCAAAATGTATAAAAATCACTCTCAAAGCAATTACCTTTCTCTTCCTTCACCTTCATTCCTTGCTAAATATTCCAAACTGGATTTCTCTATGCAACCTCCCCCACCCCAAGCTTTTACCTAAATCTCTCTCCCCTTGGCTATTTATATCACTGAACTCCACAACTATTTTAACTAACTCTACGAAACCCTTTTGGGAAAAGGACATCTGCACAAAAACTAACATACAAAAGGCAAAGTTTAAATTACATTTTTCATGCAACTTGGTGTATTAAAGACCTTGCACTCTTGGACACGAAGGGTAAGAAACCAAAGGGAACTAGTTCAAGACAAAAAAATTGAGGCTTATGGTCTCAAAAATGTACGTACCCACAGTGGGGGAAAAAAATAGACCTAGGTCCCCATTGTATTTCAACTTGCAAAGTACTCTTCCTTCTCAGTACAAAATACATTAATATGAACACCCAAGAAGGCTTGCAGCAAGGGAAAAAAACAGGAATTGTATTAAGGAAAAACCCTAAAAAAAGCCCCAGGGAGCTGGGGGGAAACCGGGGAGAGCGGGGGTTATAACCGGCTCTTCCAAGCAGTAGGGACAAATCTGCACTCGCCCCCACCCCGCCCCACCCACGCCTTACCCCCCGGCTCGCCAGCACACACCCCACCCCCACCCATGCCAAGGTTCCAGCCCTCATTTTAAAAGCCATTTCTGTATCACAACGATCCCTTGCCTCAGCAGAACCCTCCCCACCCCCACCCCACCCCACTTGACCAATTCCCTGAAATCCAAGGGGCGCCCCGTGGCTCTACGAGAGGCACAGGCGGTCGCTAGGGGGTGATGGAGGGAGAAGGAAGGAAGCGGTGCCTTGTCAGTGGACGAGGGTGATTTCTCCTTTACCTGCCATGTTGCGCTGCAAATGGTGACCCTGCTGGGTTCCTCGGGGTCTCTGCTTCCTGAACTCACCCCCCTCACCTGGGGATGGGGGGGTAGAGAGGGCGGATGGCGGCGGATGGCACCTGTGGGGGGAAAGGGCGGGGGTCAGGGGAGAAGGAAGGAGGGGCGAGCAGATCAGCCAGCAGGATGGTGGATTTCACTCTGGGGCTTCCCCGCTCTCGCTCTTTCTCCAGCGGCGGCGGCGGCAGCTACGACAGCGACGGCGGCGGCAGCGGCAGGGGTAGGCGACTCCACTTTCAAAATGGCGCCGGCTGGCCTGGCCAGTGACGTCACCCGGGGGCGGAGCGGCCGGGCCGGGCCGGGCCGGAGGGGCGGGGCGGGGCGGGGCGGGGCGAGGGCCGGGGCGGGGAGCCGCGGGCCAGACTCCGGGTCCCCGCCCCTTCCTCCCCCGCCCCGCGCGCTGCGTCCCTGCGGGCCTGGCCTGCGTCGCGCCCTATCCCGCGCGCTGTTGGTCTGAGGTCTTGCAGTGCCGGCTCTGCCCTCGGTCCCTGGCCCGGTCCGCTCTCCTGTGCACATCGCAGTGTCCCAAACCCTCGCACCTGTGCCTGGACTCCGGAACGGGCTCAGCCGTGCAGTTACCATGCTCGCTCCCTGGGATTCGTGGGATCCTGTGTCTTTGAGCGTACCGTGTTTCTACTTAAAATAGTGACTCTGTAGCCAATGAAAAAAAGGACGGGGGTGGGGGCGCCGGATAGACTTGGCGGCTCGGCCAAGGGAAGAGTTCGCGGGTCTGAGAAGGACGCAGCTGGCCTGGTTCCATGCGGGTGAATTAAATACCTTCTCATGGGCCCCGGGACCCGAGGCAAGAGTCCTTGGCGACTGAAAGCAGTTGAGGGTTTCTGAACAGAAAGCGGAGTTTGCTGGTAGCAGACATGGCGGAAAAAGTCGCCCCGGTCGGTCCAGCTGAGAGAGTGGAAGCGGTGGTTAAGCAAAGAGCTGGGCTCTGAAGCCAGGCTGCCAAATGCTGACGCCATGCATGAGATGAGGTTAACAGTCCTACCTCATAGGATTGTTTCAAAGATTAAATGACTTAATTAGAATACATGATGAATGTTTGCCGCCGTTATTGTTAGATATTTGTTGAAAGCATCTTCAACAGAGTTAAGAGGTATAAGAAAAAAAAAAAAAAAAAACAGGAGACACTAGTCATCATCCAAGAGAGTTAGCATAGGTACCTCATTGAAAGATGCATTAACGATGCAGTCGCTATATCCTACTGGATACTTTACATATCTCAGTCCCCGCAACACTCCTAGGATACAGATAGCATATTTTGCACATGACCAACACCTGTAAAAATATCCGGGATTTGACCTTAAGGCTGAAAGGAGTGATCAGGCATTCAGAGACTAAGGGGAAGTTAACAATTATTTACATCTCCTCCTCATAGCTCCACTTTCTACCTTGGTCTTGATTTCTAGAACAGTTCGATTGTAAAAACAAGTTTCAAAACGTATCCACACAGGGATGCCTGGGTGGCTCAGTGGGTGAACCTTCTGCCTTTGAATCTGGTCATGATCTCGGGGTCCTGGGATGGAGCCCCACGTTGGACTCTGCTGGGCGGGGAGCCTGTTTCCTCCTCTGCGTCTCTGCCTGCTTGTGATCCCTGTCAGTCAAATAAATAACGAAAATCTTAAAAAAAAAAAAAAAAAAAAGAATAAAACAAAACGTATCCACACAGAAAAACTGCACCATTGGGTTATTATTCCTCCATTTCTATCTTAGTATTTCTCCCTTAACCAGTGAATAAGCAAACTAAAACTCCACCCTGTATTTGTCATCTTTCAGCTACCTATACGAAACATGAACGCACTGTGTGCAGTACTGACTTCTATTTTGATTGATCTCATAAATGTGTCTCTCTGCCTATGCCTTTACTACTCATTTTTCCTTTTTACTTTCCATGCCATTGTTTAATAATTCAATCCTAGACTCTCCAGTGAACCTTAATCAAAACTGAGAGACTAGACCATTATACTAAAGGACTGGCACCCCTAATACACAAGTCACTTTCTTGTTTTATGCTTCAGCTTTTGCTATGTGTAAGATTTGTATCTTCACGCTTCCTAAAAAATGATTCGTTCTACATAAATGATTTGTTCTTCTTAGAAGCCAATGAAGCTTGCCTAGAAACTAAGATAATTATAACAGAAGTTCATACAGCACTATGTGCTGGGTGCTGTCCTAAGAACATTGTACGAACTCTTGAGGGTACTACATGCCTATGGGACAAGCTGAGATAGGTCTAATGGGTCTAATAATCAAGAATTGGTGACCCTAAGCTAGTAGTCCAAAGACAAGGGTTGCTCTTGTTGGTCCCTGCTTCCTTATCTTACGTTCTATCTTCCGTCTCTGTACTAGGGCCCTTTCCTTACCATTTCATGGAAATGTCTTCTGTCAAGGTCATTAATGATCTCCATGTAACCAAATCCAATGTTCACTTCTTTGATTTTTCTCTTTCTCGACTTTCCAACAGTATTTGAAACCACTCACCACTCCATGCTTTTTGAGACCCTTTTTTTTGCTTGTTATATGATTGGTTTACACCCAATCTTGACATATACTTTAATTTCCTTTGCTGGCTTCTCCTCCTGGACCACCCCGTAAATATTAGGGTGATATGTCTTCCTGTCTTCTGCCCTATATACGCCTCTCTATCCCAGGCAACCTCATTTAGTATTTACAGATGTAAATACCGTGTATATACCAGTCACTGCCAAATCTAGACCTCCAGCTGTCCTCCCCCTGGAATTGCAGACACATACATCTACCTGCCTGTTTGACATTTCTACAGATGTCCAATAAGCATATCAAACAAGTAGTGACAGAACATAAATCTTGATTCCATATCTGCTTCATACCTTGGCTGATGCTGGTTTTTCCCTGGAATGTCACCATTCCCTCTAACCCACCCCTGCCTCAACAGACCCACATACCTGTCTCTTTCTCCTTCCTCAGCCAGTAAAACCCTTCCTGGTTCTTTAAAAATCAATTCTGATGTAACTGCCTTCAGAAAGCCTTCTTTGATATTTTCCCTCATTCCCTATCAACCTTAAGCTAGGTTGGGTGCACTTCTGAAATATTCTCATAAAATCTAATGTACTTCACTCTTACTAGATTATGTTAAAATCATATAAATATGTGTCTGTTACTAATGGAGTTCTTTGAGGAAGGAGGTATGTCTTACTCATCTCCATATCACCAGCCACATAATTTGTTGGATTAACGGATGAATGAATAAATCTCTCTGGCTTGGGAAGAAAACCACTGAAGTATTGTCTCCATAAAGCTTACCCAATCATACTTGTTTTCACTTACTCTTCTTAACCCTGGAAAAAAGAGGCATTTTACAAATTATCTTGTTCATTCCGATGTACATCTATTAGGCATAGTTGGTTAAATTTCTAAGTTGCTTAGGAATAGATTCATCCCAATTATTTCCAACTGCTCCTTTGTCCCTGAATACATATTAACCAAGAGAATCCCACAGGACATCCCTCCTCATCCATATGATCCACACACCTTCACGCAAACATTTTGTCATTAAACCCCTAGTCAGAACTTCAACACCTGACCATGGGTAAGATGTCTAAAGTAATAGTTCCCTGCAGAACTGAGTTCAACCTAGACACAGCAAGAGGAAAACTCCAGGTTTTCCCAATGAGGTCCTGGAGAACCTACAAGTCTTAGAGGTGTTTTGGTTCCAATCTAAGCTGAGAGGCACTAAGGGCACCTACAATCTCACCAGCAGAATGGAGCTAATGGGACTCACCAGTGGGGTTTCGCAAGCTGGCTTTTTAAAGCATTTCGTATAAGGAGGGGAGAATCACTTGAAAGTTGTTTGTTTCCTTGGAGTGAGGTTGAATACAAACCCTCCTTCACACTGAGAAGTGGCACTGTCTGTCTAGATGCTTCTCCTCTAGGCAGTTAGAATTAGGAATGTCTAAAAAAGACCATGAACTCAAGGGTAAAAGGAGAAGTCCTTGATTCCTTGATTAGTAAATGACACAATTTAAAATTTTGGCAAACTCACTACAAGCCATGCTTTCTAACATAGAACAAGTTCAAGGACTTCATAGGGAAAATTTTAAGCAGATGTCAGCTTCTTACATACTCTCTTAATATCTACAAATTTGGCCTACAAAGCAGTTTTCCAAAACCCCGCACAGAGTCTAGATTATATTGACAATTCACATCACAATATTCAAGGTATAGAACACACTATCAGTGGGTGCCTGCGTGGCTCAGTTGTTAAGTGGCTGCCTTCGGCTCAGGTCGTGATACCACGGTCCTGAGATCGAGCCAGGCATCGGGCTCCCTGCTCAGCGGGAGGCCTGCTTCTCACTCTTGCACTTGCCCCTCTTTCGCTATCTCTCTCTCTGACAAATAAATAAATAAAATCTTAAAAAAAAAAAAGAATGCACTATCAAATCACTAAAATATCCTACACTAGCAGGTGTTTAAAGAAAACAATAGTGAATCTACCAAGAGGACTTTATGTAGCCAAATGTTTGTAAAAACAAAGGAAATTGCTTACGCTTTAGTAACAGGATACGAAATACAAATACAATACGATCATAGGTATGTACAACAAACATACACAAAATACATGGAACTGAAAAAGACAGGAAGGAAAGGTACCAAGGTGTTCACAGAAATGTCTCTAGGCAGGGACACAATGGTAATTTTTTCTTCTTTGACATTTGTGTTTCTCCCAATTGTCCATAATCAATAAATATTAAGGGAAAGAATAAACTTTAGCTTGAAAGTTCTTTGAAAGTACATTCTAATGCTGGTATTAGAGTTTGTTGATAAAATCTGTGTTATAGATACCCCACCTTAAAGGAAGAGTTGTAGTCCATTATAAATAACTATGTTCAAAGATGTGACTTAATCCACGGTTTTACCATAAAACAAAGAAATATTTTCTTTTGGCCTTTTAACAGTGAGCATTTTTTTTAAAGATTTTATTTATTTATTTGACAGGTGGAGATCACAAGTAGGCAGAGAGGCAGGCAGAGAGAGAGAGGAGGAAGCAGGCTCCCCACAGAGCAGAGAGCCAGATGTGGCGCTCGATCCGAGGACCCTGGGATCATGACCTGAGCCGAAGGCAGAGGCTTTAACCCACTGAGCCACCCAGGGGCCTAAAACAGTGTGCATACTTAAAGATGAAGAAAAGATCAGTAAATTCTTGCCGTTACCTTGAGTTTGTAAATTGCAACCAAAAATCTCGTTTTGTGCTTTCATTGGATATACAGTG